TCTCTCTCTCTCTCTCTCTCTCTCTCTCTCTCTCTCTCTCTCTCTCTCACACACACACACACACACACACACACACACACAAACACACACTTGCACACCCGCAAATATATATGCTCTTTTTTTATTTTAGGCTACAAATACACATGCTCGTCGACACATACGTACTCAGCCTCACTCTTTCTGTCACACACTCCAGATAATATACACACGCTGCTGGGACTCAGATATGTGCTGCGGATTGATCCAACTCTTTTATCTGCTAAATAACTTAGCATCGATTGAGCGAGGGGAAAGGGAGGAGGAATAAGAGGAGGAGGGAGGCATGGATGTGCAGAGAGAATTAAAGCCCACCAATATCCATGAGCTGTCCGCACTGCCTGGACAAGTCACCATGTCACACAGCACACACATTTCAGAAAAATACCCTTCTCATACTGCTACATGGGGGCCGTTTTCCTGCAATAAATTGTCATATATATGGATTTAATTCTTTTACTTTCCCCCAAAAGCCTCCTAGCATCGCTCCATTATGAGTCTGGACTCTAACAGGTACTATCTATTTCTTATTATTTGAAGCAGCCCGAGGAGAAGTGTAATAGTGGCCCTTCACTCGGCCTCAGGGGAGCCAGCGCTACACCCATCCAGGGTTCAGAGGCTAATTGGATATATCACTGTGAAAAACATTTAAAATCCCAAATCAATACCTGCCTCTTTAATGCTTTTCCTGAATAAGTGCTCCTCTCTATTGCTTCTGAACCCCCACCCACTCTCCCATCTCTCTGCTCGGGCCCTGTCTCGTGCACCATCCCTCACTACCTACAGGGGCCACGTGATACGTGTAGAGGTCAATGAGCTGAGGGCCACTGGGGGCCAAGAGAGAAGCAGCCCCCACAGGGGTCTTAGAATTGAAAGGTTTCTGGTGATGGGAGACATTACGGGAGATGACATCAAAGTTTTCCGGCTGACGTGAACAGTTTATAAAATAAAAGGCAGCAACAGGCAGGATGGGGTTCATTTATGCACTTGTCCAACAATTTTTAGTCAGGTCATCTGGATGGTTTCTTTTTTTGTGCTGAGACGTTTCGCCTTCCATCCAGAAGGCTTCATCAGTCTGAGGAACCACCAAACATAACTGCTTCTCCCTCAACAGCTTACTCAAAAGTGGAAAAACCAGTTATGCTGGTGCTAAGATGGTCTCAGCACAACAAAAGAAACCGTCCAGACCTGACTGAAAATTGTTGGATTTTATACCTGGATTATTGAGCATGGACTTTGGTGTTTATGTGCTTGTGCTCATGCATTCAGGGTAGCTTCTATGAGTCATTTTAGGGGTGTACAGAATTGCAAATACTGGTTGTGAATCAGAGAAGAGCGCATTTATTTAAAAACAAACAGAAGTCCAGCGCAGTGCAGATCTCCCTGCACCTGAGGCTTGAGAAACGCTTAGGGTTAGAGGTCAGCACCAACTGCAGGCACACAAACATTCATGCAAAATCTTTGTTTTCACTTAATGATGTTAACAAGTGTCCTTTCCAAGCACTCCCTGAAGCTCACGTTCCTGAAGGGACCCATTTATGTTAGCTAGTTCTTATGTGTCTTCTATTTTTAGGAATAAAAAGTTGATCTTGTTTGAGTGCTGTGTTTCAAAAATGACCCAACTCTCACCAAAGTGGTCAGTTTTATAGTTTTTAAGCTAAAATGAAGTTTGTTGGTGGCTAAGAATCATTCTCAACACAATCCCTGGGCCCTAATGCATCTTATGACATCTCCCAGTATCACATGAGAGGGTGAAAAACATCATTTGCAAACTTTGACCAAAACAGTTATATCTCTGTCCCTTTTCGAGATTATTTTTGTTTAACACTCTGGATGCAAGGCACACAGGAAACAAGCCTCTTAGATCTTTCATTTGTGTTCTAAACCATGGGACCCTAAAGTCCCAGGTTCAATTCCCAGTCAATGCACATCTCGTGGTGTCTCTGAGCAGGACATCTTATCCCCAATTGCTCACCGAGGTGCTTTCAATAGCTGCTCACTGCTCCACCTGGGGGTGGATGGGTTAAATGCAGAGGTCCAATTTCACCATTGTATGGGGACATACGATGATGACAACATATACACATTCTTCTTCTTATTATTATTATTATTATTTAAACTCTGTTATAACCTCATTGCCACCTGGACATGATGCTGGAAGTGACGATGTAAAGCTGGTTTACAGAAGCCTCAGAAAATTATAATTTGCATGTCCTGTTTGGAGTCATTGCAAGGGATCAAATCCCTGATTGAATTCATGAGGCTGGATCACGGTCAGCAGAGCCCCTGTTGTGTTCCTGCCCCGTTTTAAAAGGTTGTGTGTGAATTAGCATCATCTTTGCGTCTTTGTGTGTGCATAGATGAGCATGGATTTGAATGAGCTTTCTTTGGGGATCAGTTTAGAACTGCCAGCATCACTGCCTTTGACATAGTTTCATTTCCAGAAAAACAGGAAGCAGAGATGGTCGTTTTGCACGTCTGTCCCAGCGGCTGCAGTTAACATAACCCTGGATGTGCACTGATGTACATGTGTGAGATATAACGATGCATATTTGGGCTGTTTGTAGGGAAGTACATCACATAACTACAGGTCAGATTTCTTGGCGCATCAGACGGACATTGTCGAACATCTGCAACAACATTTGTTGATATGTTGCTGTGGATGTTAGTGACTGACAGTTGTTCCTGTTTTGTTTTGCTCTGTAAGATCTTTCTGCCTTTGAAACTGGGGTCATGAGCCAGGGTGTCCTGTCACTCCTGGCCGAGAAGTAGAAGTGGGTCATAACAGGCTATCCCCGTTGTGCACAAACTGATTACATCTGACACACTGTTTTTATTGGAGTTTGTCCTCACTCAGTTTTAGTGCCCCCCCTTCTCTCCCCTGCCAAGTTCCCTCCTCCATTTTCTCCCACCTCCTCTTCCCACTCCTTCCTTCCTCTGTTTGCTTTTGCACCCTCGATTCACTTTTTGTGCCAACTTTTCCTTTTTTTTTTTGTCAAATTACCCTCCCTTGGTCTGTTTTCAGTGTCTGCCTGCGTATCCAAAGAGGCTATAGGGGCACGAGTGCAAAATATTGTTTTATGTCTAAACCCAACAGTAAGTGCATTTTTTACTCATTTTTAAGAGTTTGTTTTTATGCAGCTAAATGTGACACAACAGTTAAATGTGTTTTTGTCTTAATAGTTAAGGACTCACTTTCCTGCTCAGAACTACATATTCTGAAAAAGAAGCACACGCTGTTTAGAGCAAGAGCGTTAGCAAGTTTGTTAGCCCAATAAGCATATTTTTTTGAGGTATTGTATGAATGATTTTTTTTTTTTTTTTAACCAATATTATCAACTCCTGCCCAGAAATGTGTAATACTGTTTTGCCTGTGAAAATTAATTTGTGTTTGCTTGTCTTCCTGGATAGATTTTAACAAAACTTTCAGAAAGTTTTCTTTGGCTTCACATTCATAGCTGTTGAACTTTTGTAGTTTACTTGATTCAGTGTGACTACCACAGCTAATCGACATGAGCAGATACAATACTGACTATAGCTGAGACAAGTTTACAGGGATTTTTTTCTTTTGACTGCTCTCTTCTTCAGGGGTCACCGCAGCGAACTAACTCGCACAAAGACTTGGTAATTATTTTTACGCCGGATGCCCTTCCTGACACAACCACAGACCACTGAGCTACCTCATCCCTCTGTGTGGAGCAGAGAGCTGCCATTTAGGGAACCTAGGGGAGCAGATGGTGGGGGTTAAGGGCCTTGCTCAAGGGCCCAGAGTGGGGCAAATGAAGATGGAGATAGATGTGGGTGTGATGTCATCAGCACGGGGAGTTGAACCGGCGATCTTCCGATCATACGCCCACCTTCTCTAACCCCTGCGCCACCACTCCCCTTGTGGAGTCAAGTTTACAGATATTGAGTTAAAATATGGTCTGGTACCTGGAAGTAATCTCCAACATATTCTTCAAGAGCTAACAGATTGTATAAAGTTGTTGTTTCTAACTTTGTCATTTATTATTGGAGTCAACACTGTCTGTTGACAGCGGCCACCACAGCTAATCATCCTTAGAATGTTAAGGAATATTTTTCTGCACAATTTTACAAAACATAAATCCACTGGTTAATGTTTTCAAAAATAAATTTTCATTTCCCAATTTATTAGTAGTAACAAAAGCCTTTAGAGGTATAGTTTTTTAACAAGAAAGGATCTGTCATGGTGTATAAAGTGCTGCAGTCTCCCCAACACAAAACTGCCCTTAGTGTTCTTTAGAGTTTATCTGCAGGGTGCATCATATTCTGTGTGCATGTGGAGGCTCGACAGATCCTCTGGATTGTGACAGATGTGTGGAGACACACTCCATACAGCTCGAACAAGCCAAAGATCAACATGATAACCTTTCACCGTCAACCCCAAAAGGCGGAGCAGTTGTGCACTTTGCTGTGTTTGAGCTCAACTCATTTCTAAACGCCAATACAAATATGCAGGCAGCCATCAGTGTGAGCAAGGGACAAAAAATGAGAGAGGGAACTTATTAATGCAGCACATGGCTGTAGTTTAACTTGTTTAGTGGTTTTACACATGCAATATGTCTTAAAAAAAGAAATCAAATGAATAAAATAACATGTAAAATAGGTGTGTTAAAGTTCTAAATGTGGACTAAAACGACATGAACTGTAAATTTGGAATAGGGAAGACTTTCTTCAAAGAGGAACAATCAAAACAGATTTTAAACTTCCTTAAATTGCTCTTCTTCACAGTAAGTTGTACTTTTTTCTCTTTATTTTCAGTTGTTTGTCCAGGAACTGTCCGACAACTGGTGGTGTTATTACAGAAAGAGGACATACGAGGTTGGCCAGATGGACTTGTTTGCAACTGCCTTTTTTCTTCTATTTATGTGCACTAATAACTTCATTTTTCTCCAAAGTCAAGTACTGTAATAATACTGTATATATTTTAAGAATTTCATCCATCCATCCATTTTCTTCCACTTATCTAGGGTCGGGTCACGGGGGTAGCAGCATAAGTAGGGAGGCCCGGACTTCTCTTTCCCCAGCCACTTGGTCCAGCTCCTCCGGGGGGATCCCAAGGTGTTGCCAGGCCAGCTGAGAAACATAGTCCCTCCAGCGTGTTCTGGGTCTTCCTCTGAGTTTCCTCCCGGTGGGACGGGTCCAGAACACCTCACCACGGAGGCGTCCAGCAGGCATCCTAACCAGATGCTTGAGTCACCTCAACTGAATCCTCTCGATGTGGAGAAGCAGCGGCTGTACTCTGAGTCCTTCCCGGATGACTGAACTTCTCACCCTATCTCTAAGAGAGAGCCCAGAAACTCATTTTGGAGAAAACTCATTTTGGAGAAAACTCATTTCAGCCGCTTGTATCCGTGATCTTGTTCTTTCGGTCACAACCCAAAGCTCATGACCATAGATGAGGGTAGGAATGTAGATTGACCGGTAAATTGAGAGCTTCACTTTTTGACTTAGCTCTCTCTTCACCATGACAGACCGATACAACGCCCGCTTCACTGCAGACGCCGCACCTATCCACCTTCCTATCTCTCGCTCCATTCTTCCCTCATTCATGAACAAGACCCCAAGGTACTTAAACTCCTCCATTTTAAGAATTTATTATAAACAATTATGGCTGTTTTTATGTTTTAAGGCTGATATCATAAGTAAATTAAAATAGAAGTCATGCAGAGAAAATCTTGTTTACTTACATGAAGCTAATTTGTTTCTGCAGGTTTGTGGTTACAGTAGTCCCTCGATTACCGCGGGGGTTACATTCCAAACACCACCGCGATGGGTGAAAAACTGCGAAGTAGGAATGCTGTATTTATTTTAGTATTCATATATATTTTAACTAGGCTTTATAAACCCTTCCTTGCA